TGATAGAAATGCTGAATGCTTGTACCTGCAACCAAAGTTAATGGGAATTGTTCTACAAGACTGTTCTACAGTCTTGTATAACACTAGGTATTAGGAAAAGCAAAAATTGACACCTCAGATTGGACTTTCAAAATTAGTGGGTACTTTTCATATTAACCTATCTTTTCTTCAGTATTTTTCCTATAAGAATTAAACAGTTTGCATAACAGAGATTGTGAAGACAAATTCATTAAAGTTTGGAAAGCTCTCCACTACTGCAGTGATGGCTGTCTCAAAGCTACCATACAAAATTCGGTCATGATGTTTACAGTAGCTTTCCAGTAAGTGAAGTAAAAATGGTAAAGCCAATGAGGGCAGAGTTTTAAAAAGCTGCTTTATATAGAGTTGGGAATTGTTGGTTTATAGTGAATGAATAGGAACTACAATATATTATTATATAATTAAAGACTATATTATAAACTCTGCAGAAAAGGGTAGGTGTTGCCATAAAGAGGACAACCTAAGTTTGCACAGAACCTTCAATTCTGAAAATGTCTAACTTTTGAAAGGAGTGCTGTACTTGGTTGGAGAGGCTCTTCAGGCCCTGGGGGAGGTGGCCCTCTTGTAATGGGCAAACCTCGCTCACAGCTGAGCCTCCCCCAGCTTGCCTGTGGCTGAAGGGTGGGATGGCTGATCATACCCTTCACAGCTGAGCTACATCAATCCCTGAGTGTGCTGTGCCCAGCAATCTCCACAAAAGGTAACTTCTAAAGACTAACGAAAGCCAACTGCAAATGAACCCGATGTTCTTACATTTTGCCAGATTTCATCAGGGTGACTTCTGCTCCTATGGCCTGCTCCTGCTTTGAAAACTCTCCTCTTGCCATATTGCAGGCTCCTTCCTCAAAATTCAAGGTTAAGAAGCTTTTCAGAGGATTAACCAGAAGTTTTATATTGGGATCAATATGTATCTTTTTCTAGCCTTGGAAACAACTGAAGTTTTGTTGGAATTGTTCAGTCTGAAGCAAACAGCTTTTGCCCTTCTTTGAGGTGAGTAACTTAGAGCAATTCTCAGGAGAACAAGACACATAGAAAAAGGAAGACTTCGTGTGTATTGGTGCTTTATTGGCTGTATAGGAAATCTGGATTTTGAGACCCTGATCTTCTGAAAGAGGCAGCAGAGCTAGAGCAAGTCTTAAAAGGTGGCCTCTGTATTTTTGTCCATTGCTGTATGCTTATGTGGTGCAGTGATAGAAAGGATAAAAATCTGTGTGAACAGTGTTCGTGCGTGCAGATCAGCTGTTTGTTATCTTTTGTGGGGTTTGAGTGGGTTGTTGGCTAAGTGCACTTGACCTGAATGTTCTAATCACGCTAAGTTATGCTTGTTGTGGGCTCCTTCCTCAGCCGTTCCCACCCATGCACGTTCTGTAGGAACAGTGGTGCCGGTTCCATAAAGGGTCAGTTTTGTTCAGAGGAAAATGTAATCTGAAGAAACTAGGAAACCTTCCTACGCTTCAGCTTTCACTTTTCATAGTGCAAAATGCTGAGTGTCAGAATTTTGGGCTGATAATTGGACAGAGTTTGTATTGTCTTGCTCTGTGGAATTTAGATCAGGAACTTTTTTTGCCTTCTTTGTAGTAACCCCAAAGGAGTAAGCAACTAAATCCTGATCCTGCCATTCTGTTCAAAATCCTGTGAGTGAATTTTAAAGTGGAGATTCCTGACTTCCAGGTGCTTTGCGTATCACTTGCTTGTGATGCCACAGTGGCTACCAAAGGCATTCAGCAGAAAAAATAATGAAGCCATATTTTAAATGTATCAGGAAGAAGTGAGTCTCTGGAGTTCTCTCTGGCTTAATCTGCATGGATTTGGGCACTAATGAGGCCCCTGTAACAGTTTCATGACTTGTTTATCCAAAATTTATAGCAAGACAAAGAGAATATGTGACTGACTACCTTCAGCAATGAGACTGGGGAGGGAGGAAGTCAGTCCTGTGCTATCTAATAACCCTGTGCTTGTTAATTGCTATGCCAACAGTCTTCAAGTCTGTTTCCAGCAGTAGGACTGTCTGATGTCCTGAGCATGGTTTCCCATTTCAGTATTAAAATTGGAGTGACAGAAAACTAATGATCATTTTTTCTATCCCTGCTCATCCATTGGGATTTTCTGCATTATCCCTAGAAGTATGTCTTCTGCTGTTGCTATAGTTGTGTGTCTTGATCCCAGTGTGCCTTTTCAGTCCTCTGATTGTACAGGCAGCAATCGTGTGAGGGGGAGAGGATCGCTATGGGGTGAATGTAGCCAAGTCACCAATTTTCTTTTTACATTGAGTTCTTCAAGAAAAAGAGCAGACAGGGCAGCAAAATCAGTCTTAGCTTGTGAGGTAACTTATCTTCATGGCTTGTTCCCCTGTGTGCAGCATAAGCCATAAACCACCTGAAAATGGCATTTCAAATGTCTGTCTGTTCTTTGGCTGTTGAGCCCTGGTGTATTGATGGTGGTTGCTCTTGGGTTCTGCTATCTATGTCCAATATGACATAGAAGGTACTGCTTGCTCCATATTTGAGTAGGCTGGTGTAGGTGGTTGTGCAAGATACGTATGGGAGTGTGGCTTGCAGTTCTGTTGCTAGGAACCAACAGTATGAAATTATTTTAAATTTTATGGAGGTTTTTTGGTCTCTTACTATGAGATAAAAGGTTTGGTCGATAAATGGTCTGTGTATAAACTACACTCATTTTATTTTTAGGTGGCTTCAAATCTTAAGAATTGGCAATTGATGTTTGCCCTAAAAAGATGGGTTCTCTAGGATCTCGATTGTAAACACATTTGTTTACCTTCAGGGCAGAGGAAACATACTCCTTACAGCACATTCACTATTGTTCGAAGCTCACAACTCTTCAGGAAGGCAGATGCCTTGTTTCAGTTTCAGTCTTTCATTGAGTCACTCCCGCTTATGTAAGGTATGAATTTGACTCTCCTTCTTAAGGTTACATTATGGAAATTGCAATCTTAAATAATCCCTTGTCTGCTGGGACTACCCACTTCTGATACAGAGAAGGAATTCAACTTGCCTTTCTTGTGTCATTCTGTTGACAGAAGTTCTCTTTTGATCCTGTAGTTTTGCTCAAGGGAGAAGTCATTTTTCTTCAAATTCCTTACATATTTCTTAGTGCTGACTTGGGGCAGGAAGAGTTTCTCTAATCTCAGGTTTGCTTCAAAAACAAACAGCTACCTTGTGACCCAGAAGGCCCTCTCACTCCTATGGTGAAGTGTCCTCATTTCCGTTTAATTCTGTGTTTCTCCATCATTGCCATGTTCCAGTTATGAGCTCCCATCCTGCCTGGGATGCTGACCTCTCTTTTTCTGTTCTGATGTGAACCTAAATAGGAGGGTGTTTGCTGTGTGTTTGGTTTTTTGTGTGGTGTTTTTTTGTTGCGGTTTTTTTTGTTGTTGCGGTTTTTTTTTTTTTGTTGGGGTTTTTTGTTTTTTGGGGGGGTTTGTTTTTTTTTTTTTTTTTTAAATCCTTTCAACACAGTGGTTTGGAATAATCTCACAGTTACCATGTTAAAGCGCAGAGTTATTAAAGTGGTTGCTGAAGGCTGTGGCTTTCCCCTAGGCAAATACCACACCCCACTAAATAACAGTGCCTATCGTGTGTTGACACTAGCATTCCATTGCAAAGGGTGGGCCATATTTGGACAGTGGCATACGTGATAGATGGAAGCAGTAACTGCTTATGCTTCTTTAGAGAAGAATGGAGGTGTGAGTTTCTAGGAGACAAAGGAGAAGAGGAGAGACAGAGTACTGGACTTTGTCTTGTGGTAGATTGGAAGAGCAGATGGCAAACTGTTACCAGTGTGTGTCTGATCTGTTTTTTACATGACATATTTTTAGACTCTGATAATCCTTTTCACTTAACGCTATATTGCTGCTTATTTGAGTACTTGAACGCCTTATTTGAATGCCTCTAATTTAGTTTACAATCATTAATTACTTAAATTGTTCAACAGTGTTCTGAAGCAGAGCTATTACAGCCTGCAGTTGTGTGAACTGGAGCAGAGAAAGGGCACGTGTCTGGACCTAGATCCGGTACCGAGGCAGTGGAGTTTGCTCAGATCTTTTGCAAATGAGCGTCTGACGTTTTAGGATGTTAGAAGCTGAATTATCATGGTAGGAAAGAAAAAAGTTATGCAAATACATTTAAAAAAACCCAACCAAACAACTGTTAGTAACCTCTTTATATGTATGTACATATGTACATGCATGCATACAATAATTTTAGAAATCCTGATTTGCAGACAAGTGTTGGTGTGAAGGACTTATTTTTTTCTAAATGAGTGTTTTAATACTTCCTAGGAAATAAAACACAGGAAGGGATCATGTAACTTTCTTCCCTGTCCTGCAGGACATAAGCATTCATAGACCATTTATGATGAACCATTTTGGTGCTTGTGACTAGAACTCCTTTAAAAGTATTGCAGCTCATTGACACTGGGATCAGCCCAGTTCTGTCTTGGTGGCAACTGACGGAGCTAGCTCCGTGATTTTACAGGAACTTGTCAAGCCTGTTTGAAAACTCACTGATATCACTGGAAAGTCCTTTTCTGATATCTCACATGAATGTTTTAGTTTTGTTGCAAATTAAAACTGTTTGTTCTTGTCCTTCCCAGTGGACAAGGAGAACAATTGCCTGCTCTTACAGTTATGAAAACTTGTGTATTAGAAGACAGTTGCCATGCTTGGTCCTCTCAGGATAAAAAACACAATTCTTTCAGCCTCAGCAATACTATGTTTGTTATTCGTCCCTGAACTTTCCTCCAGCTTGTCAAATTTGTCACGGAGTAGTGACCAAAATGGAGCACAATCATCACAGATAACCAGTAGGTTCTTACAGCAACAGTAACTCTATCCTTGTGCTTCCTATCCTTTCCTATCAGAAAAAAATGAATTGTAGCACAGTACTCTTCCTCTGTTATAGTGTAACATTCCTTTCAGGCAGAATCTCAAAGTTATATGGGATATGGCTTCTGGGGCCCTCACCCGAGAATACGTTGAAAGCGCGGTAAGCTCTCAGTGTGTGTTCACTACCCAAGCTGCTAGGGATAGGAAGAGAGGAGTCTTTGACCAGTTACTAGAAGACAGTTTTGCAATTTCTGTCTGATGTTTGTGGTGAATGGAGAAGTGGATCCTTAATAAAGGATAAGCATTAAAATTTCCTTCATTTCTCTTTATCTGTTCAGACTGGAGATTCTCCTGTGGCTGCTGAGTCACTGGGGTGTTAAACTGGTGGTGAGCCTAGCCCTGAACTGCTGGGCAGGCAGGATAGGGCTGTGTATCTGGGTAACAGGCTGCACCACCTTGGCAAATAAGATGAAGCGCATGCGCAGCTTCCTTCCCCAGCACCTGGAGTTCACTCAGGGGAGATTAGCTTCTTGAAGTTATTTCCTGGCTTGTTACCAGAACATAGTCTCTCTTGATGTTATGCAGAAACCACACCTGATTTAAATGGATTGGTGCTTCTGGTAGTACATTTGGATGTGAGATCATGCACAGTTGACAAATAACACATCTGTACCTTAGCAAGTTGTGCTTATGTTTTAGGCTGAACCTATTTATTGGTCTATGTAGAGAGAAGTGTGGATGTGTTCGGTTTCTCAGTATTCCCAAATATTCATCCTGTTTGGAACGGATAATTCTGTGGTCTACCTAATAGGATGTTAGGCTCATTTTTTTTGTCTAAAGAGTGTTATCTTTCTAGATGTCCATTTCTTATGACTGGTAATGGGGTCAACCCATGACAAGCAGAGGATAAATGGAAGATGGGCAGAGAATTCTCAAATTGCTGAACTGTGGCATAGGAAGTTTCTGAAGACTTAAACTGCAGTTGTTTTAGAGGTTAAGAAAGGTTTCTTTCCTTCTGCCACACCGTCTGCTAAAGTGATGTTTGATTTACCACAAAATTGTTCTGGGTGATGGACAAGACGGATAAATCTCAAACGTCTGTGCTCTGGAAGCAAGTCAACTTTCCTGTAGTGAGGAACTTTCCATTTACTTCTTGGTTAATAACATTTCAGTTTCAAGCAAGACTGTTCTAGAACCCTGGTGGGGGCAGAACCTCTTTGGTTTAGTTTTCCTGAGTCCAGTAGGGACAGGTGGCAGAGCTCCAGCATGAGAAAACCAGTGTCTTGCAGAGCAGAGTACAAGCTGTGAAGGTAGAGATTATGGCCATGTTTAGTGCCTGCTATCAAAGGTAGACATTTTGATATACCTTAAAACAGAAAATGTTGATTCTTATTAAAATAAAAACTCTCTTAGAGTCAACAGTACTGGCTTTTACAACATCTCAGTGAGAAAAGTGAAGGAAACTGTTGTGACAGTGCAGGTTTAAAGCCATCTAATTCCTTAACTATTTTGGCTTTTGTCATGGGAATGGCATAGAGGTTGCAGATATTTCACTTGATAATGATCAGAAAGAAAATGCCAATGTTGATTCCTGCAGAATAGTCAGCAGACTGTGTCTCTTGATGCTCCTTGCAGAAAGGCAAGCATTACTTCCACTTCTTCACAGTTCATTTTCCTCTTATTTGGTGAGGGACTGCTCCTGGAATTACAAGTAGAATCCAACTGTGGAGTGGTGTGTGGGATTTTGTGCTCCTAGTAATTCAGTCCGATACTGACCGACCGTTTCTCTTTCCTTAACTTCTTCCTTTAGTCCAGACGTAGTGAATATCCAGCAAGCGTACCACATATCCTAAAGGGTAGTGAGCCAAAGGATGTATGCATCTCACTGCATTGTGAGGCATGACAGAGGAGAAAACACAGCAACCTGAGACTTCTGTCTTGCAGTGTTTTTTCTGCTTATGGCGTTAAGTGTTTCTCATGATTCTGAAGACTTAGCCCAACCCCTCTTGAGCATGGGACAAACAGGAAATGAAAACCCCGCGGTTGGAGGATACACCTGCCAAACGCGGGTTGAGCAGCTGTGGCCCTCACCCGTGGTTGAGTGCAGAACCGGAAGCGTCAAGGGCTCAGTACAGGCTGAGCGCCGTTTCTTCTCAAGGCTTTGGAGGCTGGATGGAGAAAAGGAGGGAGGGAGAGATAAAGGTGTAGTCACAGTTTGCCTGTCAGCCTGATGAGAGGTGCTGCTCAGGAAGTTGCTCATGTAGCATGCAAGCTGCCATTCTTTAGGAGCATGCGTTCTTCCTTGCTGTTGATCATGTGTCTTACAGCTCCAGCTGGCACTTGTGCACCATAGGAAGATCAACTGTGTGACAAAGCAGTGAGTGTTAGTTCCCTTGGGGACTGAAGCAGATACAAGGATGGTCAAGGCCCCCAAGGTGTCTGGCATGTGGAGATTGCTCAGTGATTTCCTTGATCAGGGACATAGTTATGCTGTTTGTACTCCTTGAGTGACAGCTGACAGCATTTGAAGTAACACCGCTGCTCTGGCAGAAGGCCAGTTGCAGTGATTTGGAGGAGTTATCAGTTGATGTTGGCTGGCATAGCACCTCTGACAGTCTGAAGAATGATGGTGTTGCATGTCAGGTCTGGGCTTTTTAAAGCGGGTGCTCAAATCTCCAGTCTCTGGGCTGGGATGTTAATTGATGTAAGTTATCATACAGCAACATTTCAGTTCTGTCACTAAATACCTTTTTGTCTGGCAATCAGCAATCACTACTGTGTGGACTAGTGTTTGCATGCAGCAGAAACCTGTTTACTGCCCGGTGACAAGAGAAGATGAAAAGTGGTAGTAACGGAGCTAAGTTAGGGTGAGGCTCTTACAGAAACTATCTTGGGAGCTGAATCAGGTGTTGCATTCAGAAACTTAGTTATAAAGATTTGTGTGTTTGCTCACATACTCCTGTCAGAGCTTGCTTTCAGAGCATTCTTGTTGACTTGCTCTTTCACCTCCCACCTATTGAGATCTTTGTCTCAATTTGTGATTCATGTCTGATTCAGTCAAGTGGGTAGTAGACTTGGCAGCAAGAATCTCCTTAGTTTGAGGATTCCAGAAACCTTTAACAAGGGGCAAAAGTATAGAAACTGACTGCTGAAAGTGTAAAGTAAGTGCCTTATATGACAAATTCAGGGATGCTTTTTTTTTTTTAATTATTATTTGGGGCATTTTTGTTTTAGCTATGGGTAGATCTTGCACCTTGCTTCCCTAGGCAGGGCCGTTGTGGATATTTAAGTTATATTTCTCCCAACAAATAAGGGAAAAATGGCATGTATGCCTCACTTTCTCCATTGTAGTACAACGCCTTGTTAGATCTTTTAAGTTTCTTTAAATACCAAATGATCCCAAGCCTAGGAGTTGTTACAGTCTGGACAATTGAAAAAAAAATAAGTCATGGTATTTTGATCAACTACAATGGACAGCTTTTACTAGCTGCTTTAGATATTTTAAAAGTATGCCTGTATGTGTGTGTGTGTGTGTATATATATGTATATATTATTAGAAGAAAAAACAAGGATAATTATAATTTGCTTATATTGGGCATAAAAACATCTGCTGTTCCAGGGTCTGGATCTGACCAAGTCAGCTGCCTGCCTTGTTCAGACTTGCAAAGACATCTACACTAAGCCTCAAACTGAAAGAACTCAAAGCCAGAATCCCGCAGTAGGTAAATTCTGTGACTATAACCAGAAAGATACCATATTGTTCAGCAACTCTTTCAATGTTTTGTTTTTTTCTTTTTTATGTAACATAATTGAAATCCCTAGATCTCTCCATGAGATGAAACCATGTGGTTGGCTGTCCCAGAGCTGCACTCCCTTGAAAACTGAAATCCCTAATAGTCTTTGAAGCTGGCTGCTGTGAAGCTGCATCTATGGAAAACTCATTGGTTTGGGTGAAATTACGCTGATAACTTGTCTTGGTAGCATTGTCTTTTTGACAAAGTAGTAGATTCTTTGTTAAAGTGTTTGTGGTGTTTTTTAAAAAAAGTTTTAATTATAGTACTATAGTTACGCTTCTCTCTCTGTAATTAGATATTGATTACATTCACACAGGGTAATTAAATTAGGCTAGTAATTGTTTTGGTTGTGGCCTGCTCAGAATGGTTTCTTATGGAAGCTTTTTATGATAACAGCAGGTAGTAGCTGCATTGAGACAGATGAAAGCAAGGTTTTGTTCAGGCTATGCTTAGTTCACTTGAATAATATGGCTTGTAGCTTTGGACCTACATTTAAGTTCTTTGTATGTGAAGGTCCAGTATGTCAGGTCAGAGCCAATTCAAATAAAATGGCAAACAATAGTGAAAATGGAGAACAAATCTGAATATGTTGATTTCATTTTCAAAACTGAATTAAGTAGTTTACTAAAATAGCATAAAGAGTTAAGAAAACAAACTCTTTCAACTTAATTTATTTCAGTTTTAATAAACTAAGGTAAACAGTGAAGGATTTTGCAGATGAAATTAACTCAATAGGGTTTAAAAAACATTTTATTGAGTGAAGTAAATGTATATACAGTAAATGTATATATAAAAAGTAAAGCTGAAACAACAATAAAACTGTAAAACATACACAGAGTTTAGAATAAACAAATATTAAGAGAGCTATTTGCAGGACTAGACCCTACCACCTGCCTCACACTGATACTTACAACAGCCCTGTGAATAATCTTGTGACCTTGTGAGGATTTGTTGTATGACTCAAAAGAGAGTAGTATGGGTGCTAGTGTGTGACACAGGAAGGAAGAAGGAAGAGAAGAAGGGGGAAAAAACATAACAGCAGAAAGGTGAGCCACTGGAGAATGACTAATACTGTGCATGGATAAATCAGAATTGATGCCTGGCTTAGTAATGCTTAGTGTTAGCTTAGTGTCTGCTTGTAGAAGGCAGTTCCAGCCAATGGTCTGATGGGTTCCCAGGTGTTACTTTTCCAGTCACTATTGTTACGGTTTCTGTGTCCTGAAAGAGGCCAACACCCGTCACCTTGTCGTGTGCTTGCTCATTTGTACTGCGTTGGCTGAGATTGTCAGGCAAGGTATTGCTCAGTGCTTTTTGGACACATGGCTCTTGCAGTATTATTTTGAAACACATGTAGTAACTTCTTGAT